ACTTTCTTAGGCATCTAAAGGAACATGTAGATGTAGAGCTCTGAGAAGCGTCCAGGCTCAGTAAAATCAGCGTCAGCAGTCACGGAATTATTGACAGCGGGCACGTCACTGCTGTCTCCAACTTAGAAGTGGGCCTGGAGTGCAAAAGGAAGAGCATGATTGTTTTTCAAGGCGGATGCGTCTCGCTCTCACGATGAAAGTCCCAAGGGTGGAGAGAGGCTCACAGTCAATGAGAACCATGTACTTCAAGAACGCAAGATTGGTGTGCTGGGAGCCATCTCTTTGGTAGTGAACAAGATAGTTGGCGCTGGGTAGGTCCATGGTCCCGTCCAGTCACTCCGCCATTCTGATCTAGATATTGTCAGTTGCTAACGGCGAGTAGAATCTTCTCTACACCCTCAACTATATTTAAGCTCTCTGGCAGTGTGGGCTTGTCGCTGATTCTCTGGGTGGTGGCCGGTATCATCTCCGCCTGTGGTGCCCTGGTGATGCTGGAATTCGGCAGCGGGATGCCTCGATCGGGAGGCATCAAGGTGTATCTGGAGCGATGCTTCTCGCCGAAGCAGATGCAGACTTGCATCTATCTTTTCTTCTGTTTGTTCTTACAGGTATCTGCCAGCAATGCGATCACCGCTTCGGAGTATCTCCTGTCTGCTGCTGGGGTAGACTCGACGACCTGGAAGGAACGAGGGCTAGCAATAGCGGCCGTATCATTTGCTGTCGGCGTCCACACCTGTGCTCCCCGGCTCGGGCGCGCAATGCAGGATTTGCTGAGCATGGTCAAGCTCTTCACGTTACTGTTTATCGTGTGTACTGGATTCGCGGCTTTGGCTGGCCATAGGCGCATCCCCAACCCTCACAATTTCGACCTGAAGACATCCTTTGAAGGCACTTCGAAGAATGGATATGACATCGGTACGGCTCTGCTGGATGCAATTTTCTCGTATCAAGGGTACGATAATGTCAATGCAGTCCTCTCCGAGGTAAAGAACCCGGGACGCACCCTCCGCATCGCACTCCCCTCCGCAATGGGGATCATCACGGTGTTGTATGTTCTTGCCAATGTCGCCTATGTAAATCTTGGCCCCAGCTGAGGTATACTCAGGATATGATGACTTATTTCTCTTTGTTGTTCCAATAGTTTGCTGGTGTGTCGAAGGAAGATTTCCGATCAGCCAATGTCACGATTGCTGCAAGCCTATTCCGCAATGTGTTCGGCGAGACAGCCGCAACGCGAGCCCTACCCGCTCTCGTAGCTTTGTCCGCTATCGGCCACTTGTTGGGAGTCGCCTTTGTCGTGCGTAAGTGGGCTCTTCCGTTTATTTCCATATACCTGTTAGGCTAAGAGTCTTTGATCCAGCGCGCTTGCTGCAAGAGCTAGCGAAAGACGGCATCACCCCATTTCCAGACCTTATTATGCAGAACCGACCGTTCAAGACCCCGATCGCAGCACTCTTCGTGCATCTCTGCGTCACGATTCTGTTTATCTGTGCTCCACCAGCAGGGGATGCTTTTTCATTCGTCGTTGGTCTTTCCTCGTATCCCATGTGCGCCCTGTTGACTGCCATTACGGTGGGTCTGGTGAAGATGCGATTCACCCCATCCGAGGGGTGGTCGTCGTCCTACACTGCGCCATGGCCGGTCATTGTATTCTACTTGGCCGCCAATGTTGTAAGTTTACTTCGCTATCCTAGCTTTACTATGTCAATGTACTAACACAGACGGGTTTGCAGTTCCTCTTGGTCATGCCGTTTGTTCCGCCGAATTCGAGCACATCGAGTATTCCTTACTGGCTCAGTCCGGTAGTAGCCTTGGGCATTCTTGGACTGGGTGTAATATATTACCTGCTCCGATTTGTTCTGTCGCCATGGGTGTTTGACTACAGTCTTCGTCCAGTGACCAAGGATTTGACTGACGGCTCGCGGGTCGTGCGCTATCGTATGCAGAGGAATAGTCGTCGCGAAGGGATTGTCGAGGACTCTGACTGATCATGAAGCGAATAACAGCTTCCGTTATAGCTCTGCCTGTGCATTTCATACTTTCAGCCTTGCAAAGCTTCTTACTCTCGCAGAATGGTGCTCTAGACACATGTGTCCTCATGATCAACGAGGGAAGGCTCCATTTCGATGTAGAGCGAATAATTGATTGTTTCACAAGAATTACTCCCGTCCGGCTTTTCATTAGGTGGAACAGCATTCTAAATTTCGAGGCTCTACTTCAAAATGCCAGAGAATGTGCAACGGGGGCCATGGAAAATACAGACCTGAATATTGCAGGGTTGAAAGACATGGGCCCACCTCTTTTGGAACCAGAGAAATCTCTACAATTACGCAGGTTGCCCTTCAGTATGAAGGCCATAACCAGTCTGGTATCTGGTACTTTCCTAGCCGTGGACTTCGATATGTCCGTACAGGATCACATGCTACTTCCATTGCAGGTGTTTATTCTCTTAAAAGCTATTGAAGTGGGTGAAGAATTGATGCTTCAGGTGGATTATTCGCCATCTAGTATCCCTCATTCGACTGATGCAAATGGGTTTCTGGAGTCATTCGTGGGACATCTCTCATCATTGATTCGTGATCATCGGCATTCTGTTATGCCTAAAGTGTAGGTATCTGTCATCTGAAATCTGGGGATAATTTTCTGTCTAATATCGGCTTCATATAAGTTTAGTGATTAGCTAGAGGCTCGGGGATAGGTAAATTGCGATCATTAGAACCATATTTTATGAATTAACGACTCTTCTATGTCGTGGCATGCTTCGCTTCGTGCTTACTTGTGCTTATTGCGAGTTTGAGGGATTTCGGAGCGTTCCGGGCCATATAAATGCAGAACGATGCACAATAATTGGGAACAAAGGGGGATAGACCGATAGTTACTTTCGAAACTGCTGTGCCCTCCTCCTCTGCCATAGACAGAAGGTCTTGATCTGCAGAGCCCGACCCCGCAATAAATCTCCGCGGATGTCTCAGATCCCTCTTCTACTGTGACGAGACCACTGGCCCTTCTCACTTGTGAGGAAAGCGATGCTCTGTTACTATGTCTCCTTGTCACTGAATGCACCCTCAGTATAATAATAGTATAGATTTGCAGAGCCATGCTCGTAAGGCTACGTGTTATAGTGATGTCTTATCTCACCGCTTCTCATGCCTATGGAGAACATGAGGTCTCTGATCAGAGGACCTCCGTGACTACCGGAATGTTTAAATAGGGACACTTACTCTAGACTATCCAAAGTATGTCATGCACACATTAAAAAAGGATCTAAATATCGAACTGTAGTCAAGGAAATAGCAGATAATGTATATATTGTCTATTAGCCTGCCTTGTGATAAATGTGACACGGGGAATCAGCCACTAATAGTGGAGTTTATAGCGATGTTGGTATTAAACACGTTTGGGGTGATTTTGCTGTGTCACAAACTCAATTCAAGTTATTTAAGCGAATAACAGCACATTGAATGTCTGCATTATTTCTGAAATTCGTATAGGGCGTTTGATCGACGCTGCATGTCCGCGGGGTGGCTAGCTCGGGTATGTGGGGAAGGGTGCAGGGGGCGGCCAGCAGTTGACCGGGGTAACGCCAAGAAGAGGTCGTAGGCAGGGAGTCCGTCATGCAAGGGCAGTATGTTGCAGGCTCTAGAAATAATAGAATATGAAAGCGAATCAAGAAGAAAACAGACGGGTCTGGGTGGAGACAAGACACGTTAATGCAGGGGCCGTCAAGCTGTGGATATATCCCTTTCGTCAAGTGGACATATGTCAGATTACACAGAGGGTCTTCATTTGGAATGCAGATAGTGCCATGGAACCTTGTGATATGTACCAGCGGTTTAACAAAGTAGGCATCGGCCGAGATATCAACACATTCATCATTATTCTCGGATTGCGGCATGTTGAGTACATTGTGGTAAAGATGAGCCGAATCCACCAACGAACAGTATATTCAGTTGAAGGAAACCAAAGCGGCAACTCATAGTTCTAGGAACACCAGTGTTCCACCTTCAGCACCCAGATGGAAGTTAGGAGAATATCGTATTACCTTTCCTTGCATTTATTCTGGACGACATACCACAATTGTTCCGGTGATCAGGTTGTAAACAATTTTAGAGTACGACCCGTGGATTGTTCATTGTAACCTTTGCAAAGTTTATAAAGGAGTACATAGGAAGGACCTTACCAGATTGAATCTCCAGAATCTCATACATATAACCACTGTCTCAACAACATCACAGACTCGTCTTACATTTGGTATGCCTCTCTCCTGGAAACCAGAAGCCGCTTTCTTAACTGCTACCCAGACCACCAACCCATCATGCAATTCTCGTGGCTCGTATACACTGCTTGTCTCGTAGGTCTCTCTATGGCCCAGTGCGGCAAGCAATGTGCCGACGCTGGAGACTACCTCATCTGGCCATGCGGCACATGCAACCCGGTAGGTAATTAATTCTCTTGGTGCTTTTGGTGCATCTAAATGAAATCTAAAGTTTGACATCTTTTAGGACACCCACCAATGCGAACATACATTCCCGCCAGCGAATTTAGCCGAATAAACTCTATTGCAGGATAAAGAGGAACGCATCTAGGGATCTGTGGCCTTAGTATAGGTTTTTTGTCCATTCTCTCTCCAAATGGTTTTTCCCTATCTTGTCATGTGAATGCAAAGGCCAGGGAGATCATCTACTAGAAATACCGAATTATTATCTCCTTGGATATGAGCTATCTGTTTCTTTATTCCGTCCCGGTGAATATTCCCAGTCGATGCTATTCTCTCAACAAGATAACGTAACTCCAACCGGTCAAGGGAGAGGTTTCTCTTCCCGACAGAAGTGACTACTGATCAACCACCCTGCAACCGCCTTGAGTAGAACCAACGCTTTTGTAGAATAACAGATATATCTTTGCAATTAGTATTTAAAAAAGAATTGCGGTGGCTATCTGGACTTTTTTATTGGTTTAATATGAGAGGTGCCAAAGGCGAGCGAAAAGCGACCTTTCCAAGAACGTGCTAAACTCCCTTGGCAGTATCATCATCAGCCATCAACCTGTCCACCAGCCGACGAAAGCTTTGTGTCGTATCCAACGTATCCTTGCTGTCTTCAGGCCACGCAGCAGATGGGTGCTTTATGAGAGCCTTGGCAACACACCAGAATTCTGCAGCATGGATTATGAATCCGGCTCGTTTGGCAGTACTTGGTTCAATACCTTGGCACAAAGAGTCCCAGTGTATCTTCCACCGATCCAAGGCACGTTCCACCGGTTCAAAGACACGAATGTCATCCATGAATGTGTGCATGGCTAACAGGTCAAATAATACGCATTGTATAGCTGGAAAAATGTGAGTCGGAGCCCACAGATGTATAAAATCGGAAATAACCAGATTTGAGTCGCAACCCTACCTGAAAGAACAATAAATGACCCGAATATAGTATTCGGAGAATATTCCCCGTGTTGAGGAGGTTGTCCTTCGGGCCTCATGAAGTCGCGAAGAACGGTCCGCAATCGTAATGATACGTGGGGTTTCTGATCCTTCAATGATAGTTCCTCCCATTCAGCGGCGTTGTGAGAATGGAATAGGTCATCCCGTTGCGGTATTTCGAAAGCTGTCTCATCGAGTCTCAGAAGGGTCGGATAGCGAAAGAAGATAACACAATAACAGTCCAGCAGGTAGATGCCCGCCATGACTCTGATACATAATGTAAGTCTAAGTGAACTAGGGAATTCGAGGATTGATCTTTCGCCCACCTGACAAGACTTTCACGGAGAAGATATGTGCCCCAGTCTGAGACCCCAGGAATACAGTCATTCGTAATCTTATTCAACTCGAGAAGACGAATAACAGTAAAGATAGTCGGCATGCGTTGCAAGCGAATGCGGCGTATGCTATCAGGGTTTTCCTTATAGGACTGCAGAATAACGACAAGCATTGCAGCTTGAAGGGTTTCCAGGGTGTCACCAAAATCAAGGGATTCACGATTTCCATCTAACAGCTTCTTAAAAGACGGTCCTTCAAAGACTAGGTGTTCGGTGATGTTTGAGTATGTTGCCAAATCATCTGAGCGGTAAGGATTATTGTAAATTGCACCTAGTAGCACCATTGTGAGAACAAGAAGATTTGAGGCTTTGTTCAACCTGAATGCGGCCGGAGTAATGTAGTGAGTGTGAAATGGATTGTCAAAGAATGCTCTAATGAATTTGGCGATGTTAAAAGGGGTGAATAGTTGCCTGGCCTTATTAATGCCCAGGGATTCCTGACCCAGTGCATCTTGTTGTTCAGAGCAAGCGATTATTCCTAGGAGCTCGGCGGAAGTGCTCTCAAGATCTGCATGATCAAACGAGTATGTCGCACTGATTTGCGAGTCGCATGGTGGGTCCAGATTAGCAGTATAGATGAAAGAGTGAAACATCCTTTCCCAAGGATCTGTGAGGAAGCATGAATTTCCTGGCTGATGGTCCACAGCACAACAACCGACTTGCGGATCCGCACCCGTACATTGAGATAGCAGGCGGAGACTTTCGTATTTCGATTCACTCTCTACATTTGTATAATGTAGAAGAAATGGTATTGACAACTTTGCGGGGCGATAGCATGGCTCCCTTTCCGTTGACGGATTGATATCTTCCGGTAATTGACGAGTTATGGCTTGGCTAGCCTCGGGGAATCTAGGTGACTCCTCGCGCGTGCGGCTGAACGAGCAATTCAGACCCTTTTGTAAGCAGGCCTCGCAAGGAACCTCTCCGTCACAGAATACTCGCGCTGTAACGCAGGCGTTACATGATTTTCGCTTTCTCCCTGGCTTTCCTTGAGTGGGAGGTTGGTAATCTCCCTTGGGCCCGCATCGTTGAAGATGGCGACGTAAGACGTCCCTGGTGGTCAGAAGTAAGTCAAAGGTAGTTATGCACTGATACTCTAAAATCAAAAATTACCTTCTTATATAGGAACCACCACAAACTGGGCAGATTAGCTTTTCTGATGGTCCGTCTAATTGCGATTAGATACCGGGATGGATGCAGGGGCGGCGTCGCTTACGACTCGCTTCATGTCGACGCAGGTGGCTTTTGGTGGAGTAGACTTTCTGGCATACAGTACACCTCACAAGACCCCTTTCACGAGTACTTCGCGTACTCGACGAATTTCTGTGTGGCACTGGTGGATTCTTTGACGGCATAATACAATAAGTGCATGAGCGGCGAAGTGAATTTTTGCGGAGGTTCGGCGGGAAGGGTTGCAGCTAGAGTGGGGTTGGTGGCGAAAGGCCAGTTGAGAACACTAATTCAATCAAATATGAATATGCCCTGACCATGCTGTTATCTGATTCCACTTTGCAGCTGTTGAGATTGGCAAATCCCCTGCACGTATCTAAGGGGCTTTCGTGTGTTATGAGCGCAAAAAAATAGTGGGGATACAACGACTGTGCTCATTCCGCTGTGCCGAGTAGTCGGAAAATCCCACATGCTAGTCGGGAAATGATCCACATCAGTGTATTAAGCCCTCCGGGGGCTCAGGGACCAGGAGAAATATGTTCGAGACCCCGTCAGTAGCAACTATCGAAGACATCATGAACTATATATCGAGATTTGGTTCATCATTCAATATCAGCAATGGTCCGTCGTTCCTCGCTGTTTGGAAGACTTACTGACTCAACAGGGGCTTTATCCCAATGCCTCCGATCGCGTTTGCGCCCGACTTTCGTGACGCCTTCTGAATTCTGCTTATACTCTCGTCGTGACTTCTCTTCGAGAAATATTAGGGCGGCTGCCAATTCACAGCAAGATCAGGGGAGCGATCCATCAACTTCTACGGCTCTTTCAGCCGAGAAACGACCAATGAACATGGCCGAGCACGTCCTGTAAGCAGTCCGACTTGCTCGTCACACCAATGAATATTGTGCTGACTTTCCATAAGTACGACATTTGATCAGATAGTTAACTGGGCCCGTCAAGGATCCCTGTGGCCCCTCAGCTTCGGTCTAGCGTGTTGTGCGATCGAAATGATGCACGTTTCAATGCCCCGATACGACCAAGATCGCCTGGGAATCATCTTTCGAGCTTCTCCTCGACAGTCCGATGTAATGATTGTTGCGGGGACTGTGACAAACAAGATGGCCCCGGCTCTGAGGCAGTGCTATGATCAGATGCCTGAGCCAAGATGGGTCATTAGCATGGGTAGCTGTGCTAATGGTGGAGGGTATTACCATTATAGTTATAGTATTGTTCGGGGAGTGGATCGCATTGTTCCTGTGGACGTTTACATCCCTGGCTGCCCTCCTACAGCGGAGGCAACACTCTATGGAGTATTCCAACTACAGAAGAAGATAAAGAGGACTCGGGTAACGCGGATGTGGTATCGACGGTGATTGCTGCGGCTTGGTAAATTGTCACCCCATGCCTATCTTGGCTGCGACTATTGTTTATATTTGCGCGGTTTGAGCTGCATGTTGGATATGTCAGAGGAATTCAGTTTGAAATCTAACATCAGCATCTTACGTATCCCAAGTGAAATGCCTTTCAGAAGTGGGGTTTCCTCTTCTGCAATTGACATGCTAATCACAGTAGTCACATATGGTATTTATCTCTACCATTCGAGTCGTTACTGTTTTCTTCTCCTTGACCCGCTGACTCGAGATGTCTCACATCATGCAGTAGTGCTACTGCAAGTGCCGAGTCCAGGAAGGAGCCGATTGGCAGAAAAGACGACGGAGAGCTTCGGGGCCACACAAACAAGCAACGTACAGTCAACATTTAGCCCGCATGTTCTAAGACGATGAGACTAGCTTCAACTAGTGCAACGTGGCTTATCACACGTGCCCAAAGCATGGTCATACGGATGGGCGCCGTACATTGGCTAGACTTGTGGGTGTGTGGAAGCAAACCCGCGATTGGCCTATAAGTGCCATCGGCGATATAGTAATGTTTGCTACGCCTTTACGTCTTACAATCAGCGTGTGTGCGGAGGTCAGCACCATTTGATATAGTGCACTTCGGCTTTTCTAGCCGTTTTTGATGACTACCCCGCAACATGAGCGCGGAGATTGTGGTAAGTTACCGAAGACAAGCTTCGCACTTGGCAGCCTAAGCTTTTTACGTTCAACAAGTAGTCTGAATGGTATGACACGCCTCGGCCGTAAGCAGTATTATGTGGACGGTAGCCTCTCCGACAACAAGCCTACCAGGTCGTCTTTGAATATGATGAAGACCAACGAATAGAAAAGGCAAGCACTGTCCCGTATTACTGGAAATCAGAATCACCTCAGTTCTCTTTCTGGCCCTGTCCCAGCGTCAACGACTCAGACATCATGGCTAGTACTCTTGTAACCGTGGCAGCATTAGCTGCAATTGTTATTCATCTGGTTACAGCCTCCCCCCTCATGGATACCCTCCTGCAAGTCCCCGACTTATCTACCTACGCCGAGGTGTACAACCTGACCGGCGGTATTGTAGAGATCAATCCATTGTTTCTCAAACGCTACAACTACGACGAAGACAAACGTAACTACACATTCCTTGCTCCCACTAACGATGTAAGGTCTTCATCCACCCTGTCTGCTTATCGCGGAAAGACAATTAACTAGTCGAGCACATAGGCATGGGCCAAGATTCCCGACGCCATCTTTGATATCCTTATGACCCAACAAGCCTACCCCTTAACCGAGGCCCTCCTGCGCACACACATCATAGAGGCTGGTCTCACAGCTTCTGAGCTGGTCAAGGTATCTGAAAGTGAGGGTGCAGGAGGAATATCTACCTCACTCCAGGTGTCCAATACTACCGAGCAATACCACAACGGGGTCCTGACCAAAACAGTCCAGGGTTATTATATTGACTCCATCACCTCCTCAAATGACACTGTACAAATTGACGATCAGTCTGCCATTGTGACAGCAAATATTGTTGCAGACAATGGTCTGATCCATGCAATCGACCAGGTTATTGACCCTTTCCTCATCTATGGCGGTGGACCTAGCAATCGGACAATGGCCCCGACCAGTGAGACAACAGATCTGACCATTGGAGAGTTACTGAAGAGTGATTCGCGCCTTGTGAACTCTTCGAAGATTTTATTTGAGAACTCCCCAGATACGTTGCGTCGGTTGTCGCAACAGACAGGCAGTACGCAGTTCTTCGTGGCCCCACGAAATGAGGCTTATGATCTGATGCCTACGATCCTTCCCATATTCCGTGAGTTCTCTCACATCGTGAAACAGCGGAGCTATTGGCTAACTTCTACTCGAACAGATACTCTTGTCGCGCCATACAAAAGCCCATTTAACACTCTAATGTGGCAATATGGCTGGCTTGACAGTGATGGCGATACCTTTGCGGGCCTGAATTTCAGCAGTCCGATCACAGTAGCTAGCGACATTACAGGGCTCAATATTACAGTCACCCAAGAGGAGAACGCAATCTTCATCATGAATGCAGGTCTAGTCACTCAAGTGAGGACATCCAATGGGTATCTGTGGATTGTGGATCGGTGGTTGGATCCCTTGTATCAAGCCTTTGGTCCCATCGACCGATTTGGTACACCAGAGTGGCCGTGAGGTTGGCGTTTCGGTTTGCCTTTGTTGGTGTCTCATAATCGTTAACCGAAGAAGACAATGGTTTGCAATGCTACATCTATTAAGCATGACGTATGCTTAGTTCTCGGTAATAGAATTCATTTTTGGCTTTTATTAGTGTCGTACCCTTTCGGAGCGACTACTTTCTTTAGCATCAGAAGCATTGGCAGTCCATACAACTAGCGCAACTACGGAAACCGGAGATCACGACACGTGCTTTTCGCCCACCTCATGCGGCAAAGTCGGAATATTAATAGTACCCCGAAGGCGAAGGAGTTTTGAGAGGTTCTCAATATCTTGATATCCGATATCACCAATGGCGAGACGTCGACGGCATTTCCGTGCCTGGGGGGGAGCTTCGATTTAGAATTCTCATCGAGCACAGTTGGGGTCTTCATGGCTCGATCATAGGGGCTAGATGAAATCCACTGTTACCTCATCGTATATGCCTATCCTTCGGGACTGTTCTCTTGAAATCCACTGATTCCACGCCAATCATCGGGCCTGCATACATTATCACCCTTGTAGCCACCTATCCGTGAAGTATCCCGTCACAAACGCAAATACTCCCTTATGAAGAATATCAATAACCTGCTCATTAACAGGCCAGGTCCTATAGCGAGTTAGTGTCCCAGCTCAAAAAGGTACTCCATATGTTGTGACTGATCCAGCTTACCATGGAAGCGCCCCAACCCCCGTAACATTTTCCAATGTTTGATCGATCATAAGCCGTATGGCAACAAACATAAAATCAGCGAATGGCCCGCGAACGCCGTATGCGCTCATAAATGCTCTAATCATTCCCGCAGCTGCTCCCTGTCCATAGTGCATCGCCATGTTCAATCCGAAGCGCTCGGAATCGGGGCGAACGGGTAGTCGGAGAAGGCGCTCCAGAGTGTGGCCCGGTACATATGAATTTGGTCGGCCGGTGAAGTATTGCTCAATCTTTTCGCCGATTGTCATTCTGTAAAGTGGTCAAGTTGGTCAGGCCATTGGTCGCTCTTTGTGATAAGGTGGTTATTGGACTGACACAGCGACGCCAAGCAGTCCCGCTCCGCAGCCGTAGATGATGCAGCTCCCTAGTGAGGACGGTCGGGGCGGCTGCTCAGGAATGGTGGTGCGACGGGACATCTTGAATGCTCAAAATTGGTGTTGGTGTGTTGATTGGTATGTGGATGTGGCTGTGAAGCTGAAGTTGGTGAGGGAGGAAGATGATAGCCAATACGGCGACACCGTGGGTTGCACTGTATGGCGTAGGAATGACGCATGCGAGCTTATCCAGCAAGTAACAGCCAACCCCCCAATGACCTCCCTTCAACGAACATCAAGCATCGGGATAACTTATTAGTGAGCGCCTTAGTTTTGTTCATGCTTCTCCTCGTACGGATTATAGTGCATTGGGGAGGTGTTATAGCGACACTCAAGAACCTAGGGGATCTTAAAAGTGGACGTTCTCACAATCAAAATACTATCATCCAGGAAAATGATGTGTACGGCAGAGCAAGGAGACAGAAATAATTTTTTGCTGAATGATAGAGGGATATTCTGGGCAATCGTGGAGTACAGGGGCTACTTTGACTGCTTCTAGCCGCACTAGTATATCCCGATTCCAATATATATCTCACACACAGCATCCCCCATCAACAAAAATCTTAGCACCGCTGATAATCGAACTTGCAGGAACTGGCCTGTCTGAAATCCCGGCAAACTTATTGAGCAAGGGGTACTTCCCGATGTAGGGCATACAGCTCGTTTCACCTCTCTTCCTGTTTCTGTGCTACATTTGCGAAGACTTGGTAGGCACGGAAGCCAACGGGGGTAAATGGTAGAATTAGCCTAGAACAACATGAAAATTCCAGTCAACGTAAGTCTAATATGAGTCTACTAAAAGAATCAGATAGTACATACGACCATAGGGTGTGGAAAACAGGGCTTCCCGTCCGCTCAGCCGTACTTAAGCCACACGCCGGGAGGTTAGTAGTTGGGTGGGTGACCACCAGCGAATCCCTTCTGTTGTATGTTTTTGTATTTTTTTTCTAGTATTTTCCATAATTCATGATAGATAAAATTGTTTGTGGAATACGTAGCCGAGAGGTTTGAATCCTGACAGATGTTCATCGTGGAGACAATTGGTGCTACCGTTTAGGTTACTTGTCAAAATTGGCGGATGCGTTAGCACATAATTAGGGGCCCCGATGGGGATTTGGATGAGCTATTGAAAAGTATTGGCAATAGAGATCGCGGAGAGTGATCAAGAATGACAACTACTGTAGTCCTTCACAAATCCGGCCCTGCATATTCCTAACATGAATTCGAGGTAGATAGCACTTGTCTTCAATAGAATAGACCGGCTTTCCGACCATGCCCTCCTAACAGGCTAACGTCATAAGCCCAATGTGAGGAAGTACCCTATGACCGGATACCCTATCTTTCATCTTCAACCACGTAGGGTCCCTGCAAGACCTGAGCATTCCTGGTGATGACCCGACGATCTCCAACCCACTCAACCTTGAAGATAGCACTAGCCCACTACATTAGCCCCATGCATTCAATAACAAGCGGAGAATTTCTCAACTTACTGGACCTTCCCTCCATACATCTTCCCGTCATCCTTGGACACAACGCGTCCCTTCAGCGCGAAGCCGATCGTGCCTCCACGTCCCTCTTCGTCGTTGACATCAGGCGTGGCAACGGCTTCGTGAAATTCGAAGTCGAGGAAGGTGTAGCGAGTGCGCCACTCTTGGACAAATTTCTTGAACCCGTCTAGGTCCAGTCGCTCGGAGTTCCATCTATTTTGCGAAAGAAGGCCATTACGAGATTAGATAATCCGATAACTCCATTCTTTTCTGTGGGGATTATTTGTGGAGGCTTAATGTGGAGATATGGGGTATAGAGTTCGTGTGGAGCGAGATATGGGAGAGTGATTGCTTACTCAAACAATGCATCAGAACTGTAGTTGTCATCCACTAAGGTCATGGCCTCTTCGTCGGAGGGGACTTCGTAAATCAATCTTGACACGTGGCTGATTTAGCAACAATACAATGTAAAAGGGATGCGTGAATGAAGATCATACCGTTGAATGCGTTGAACGAAGAACAGCAAAGGGATCTTCACCTCTCCCTCCGTGGGAGTGGCGGTCGTTTTGGGAATGGGAAACAACATCGCTGTGGTAAGAATGTTAAGATGTTTTCATTGAGAGTGTCTTTTTCTCGAATAGAATGACATTAACTCAGGCCGATCGCTTGTGCGATTTATATGTTGTTGTTCTTCAGGCCGAGCAGGGAATCGCGTTGTTGCTATACGAAAATGACTATGATGATATCACAGTACACTGTCTTGGCAAGAACCATGAAAGAAGTGTTTGGTTGAGCTTAGTGTACGGTCTGCGTAGTGTCGGTCGTGGATGAAATTTCTCGTATCCATTGACAGACCACTTCAATTCGTCCACTACATTGTCTTGTGTAGCCTAGTAGGCTATTCTAGCAATGTGGGACCATACTGTATCGCATCCTGTGTGAGCCGAGTCGAAAATAGAAGGTTGTATCTAGATGAGGAAGCTGGGTGCTGCAATATCATAGGTTGTCGATTGCATTATGAGAAAACCACAAGCATTGGTGACCTGATTGATACTCCTACTTGTTGTGCGAAGACCAGCTTAATGTGTTCCACAGTCTCTGAAGGATTGAGCCTATCATTTTCAATAAGAAAAGCGTATAGATGACCTCTCATTATCAGAAACCTCATAGTCGCTAAACCTAAAGTTCAAGGCGGTGACAATGTTGAAGAGACAAGTTCGGTGATGAATAAGTCTGACATTTTGACTATCTATAATCCGCTGTCATCATCTCAAAGCACTAAGCTGCAAGGCCTCTGAAGTAGTACTGATTATCAGTCAAGGCGTGTAAGTGGTGTCAATTCAAGGCTAAATGCTTGCAGAAAAGCCTGGATGGACTGATTGAGTCAGGGTCGAACTACATAATGCCTGGTTTGCACATCTAGAGCAGTAATCCGTAGACAGTTCGAGCCTTCCTAGCACGAGCAGCTTACATCGCTTCTGAACAGCTTTCGAGATAATGCTGTATATTACCCCCGTGTTTCTCCATTAAACAAGAAATCCAATGCTCCGGGGTACTACACAGAGCCAATCGGGGTTCGGCAGCCGATCCCTTGAACACGGCCCTGTCCCCTCGTCGATGATACTTGTATCGTCCCTCTCATTAGCTACGAAACAAAGTTTATCGATGCCAGTGAAAGTCATAGTTTCGGCCAATGATCATTATCGATTTTACTTACCCTGGGCTAAGATACACATGTGAGAAAATAATTTCTCATTGTCTTAGCACTTGACCGTTCGGCTGAATCCTGTCACTTGGCGAAACGTCCTTGTCGGCAACTAGGTCAGCTCCGTACAAATCTTTCAATACTACAAGGCGGCTAATGACATCGGCGAGCAAACATAGAAAGGTTGGGAGCCTGAAGAATCTCAACCAGACTCGCAGTTTGCCTCTCCCCCTTCATGTCAACACACTGACCGGACAGAATCTCACCCCGCAGCCAATTAATTAGCAAACACGTCGTCTCCGGTCCGAGGAGGGGAGATGACCCAGGCGAATCGAGGAGGGACCACGACCACCAGAATGCAGCACCGCGTGGCTCGACGCTCGACCATGCTCCATGGAGCTCGATTGCTACGACAACCAACATCACACACTAGGCGATCGACTCTTCCAACAATAGAAATTCCTTGACCCTGTCGCCGGGAGTATAAGTCGGAGGTAGAAACAGCAGGGGCACGAACATGGCAGACGGGTATAGCTCTTCGAGATAGCCCCAGGTGAAGATAGAGGGGAATATTACTGTAGAGAGCGAGACACCTGAAATAGAGAGGTGGAAGGCGAATGCCAGTGAATGTCCGATGGACCAACATCCAGGTTCCCGGGAGCCGGCCATAGGGGTCATCCAGTACTTCGGTGAGAAGCTGGGTCGAGCCGTCGAGGGCAGTACCACCCCAGGTGCCCAGAAAGCCCACAACCCTGAGGACAATCAAGAGAGACTTGGCGGGCAAAAGAATCGACATGGTGAGTTTCGAGATCAAACGATGAAAGATGGTGATGTTGATCAGTCAAGCGTGAAAGAAGTTGCCTGCAACTTACCCTACGCAAGATTATCATACACCCCACTGACTCCACCTCCTTCACAGGATTGCTTTTCCTGGTTCATCAATCCACAATAACCGTAGATCTCCTGGATGTCAATTTGCGCTCTTCTCCCGCGGAGACGCGGGGACTGCCGCCGTCATGTCGACGCGACCAAGGACATCTATTGACCGTGTCGGTATATGGGGCTGACAGATAAATGTGGCGCATACTTAGAGACTGTGTGAGGCATCCTTATAGGTTTCAATCTTTATATGGTGCTTAACGATCATTATGCGGGCCATCCCACATGGCATGTCAAGAGCCTTCCCTTTGTCCTGAAGGGGAAATTAGGGCCGTTATCGATAAAACTCCGATCGGATCGGAGCGGCCGGTTTTGTTGCCGATTTGCCGAGCTTCCCCCCTTTTTTTAGCAGATTTTCATATGTTGAGAACATCCAAAAGCGTTCATCCCGAACACTGTCGGACCCTGAGACCCTGATTAACAGGGCGCTATGCCCTTCATATCCCCTTGGATTTGAATTCACATGGTATATGTAGACAACAATAATGAATAAATAATCTGTCCCGCGCCGTCTGCCTCACTCCATAAATGTCTCTGATCGACTTTGCAATGGCTGCAACAAGCTTCGCTCACCCGAATCTTCCAATCCCAGTGGGGCCCACATGAACTTAACCCAAAAGACTTCTTTTTCCCTGGTTCACTTTAACCTGAGGTATACTAGAGGAAAGCTAGCAGCTAGCACTAATACTAATTCTGTAGACTTTGCCAATATGGTGTCTGAAAAATGATCGTAAAGAATTGCCTGGGTCAGCGATGCAGAAATTTTGCAATCCGTCCTGGTGAAGGTCCGTCATTTGTCCTCTGCTTCTTCGACCATCCCTTCCAGTCCCTTCTTTTCCCCTCCTGTTCGTGCTTGCTGTTCCTCCGACGATGGATTACATTCCTTGTTCTTTCGATGCCTTCATCGACAATTTCTTGGCGTGTTACCGACCCTGCTATTCGGACTATCTCCAGCAGTTGGTCACCAACGGGACCTGTGGTACCAACTACACCACCCTAGCCGCCAGCACCGACCGCTCCGATCTGAAATGCATTTGCGAGAACGCGGATGGGGTCTCTAATAATTGGACGTCGCAAGTCCTAGAATGCACGCATTCTTCGTGTAGTGGAACGTTCAACTACACCCGGTGGGCGGACAGTATGTGGAGCTACGACAATATGTGTTATTACGCTTCAGGTACCTACTTCCCAAACTTTCTACTCTCTCACTCTCCTTCTTTTCTCCTCTACCCCACGGCTTTTTTTCTTGGTATAGGTGACAAGGTGACAAGCACCAGCTGACTTGGAAGCGAAAGGCACGGCGGGGTACAAAAAATGTTCCTCCTCGGCGGCATCCAAGACCACGTCCACCACTGGATTGATGGTTGGATTATTAGCGTTGAGTCAATTGCTGTTGCTTTAAATAGAGGAGCAAAAGGAATACTGTGACTTGGTTCACTACCGACTTTGTAACGGGAGAGGAAAGATGGACGCCCCCTCCCCCCACCTCTGCTATCCCTGGGTTGTAGCTGCTAGTGCGTCGGCACAACGGGGCTCTCACGCTCAAGTCCTGCCCAGAGGTAAGAATAATGAGGTATTATAGGAGTCTTACTACATACTACTATAACACACCTCCTATCTATTGCTTAGCACACGCCCAACCGCCCGACATTCATCGAAAACATCCTCTTTTAATAAGCTCATGATAGACCGTGGGTTCTAATCTTAGTTAGTTGCATATAAGACTAATCAAAATGGAATATGCGTTTCATTTGCAGACTACTAGGGATTATCTGTCGGGAGGGACGCACAAAACAGAAAAGAAGAAGAAAAACAAAGCATTTGTCGTTCCGACACCAACGCGATGACAAATTAATGTTCCTGATTTCTGAGCATTGACAAAAGGTGTGGGACACGCTCGTATTGTTGTACAGATCACCATCCATGTCTGTCATCATGTATTGAGTTGGGCGTCTAGCTTTGTCTAGGCGAATCAGAGTAAGCGGGTATGAATCTTGGTCGGCGACCAAGCTGCGAGTTGAGGACTGACAGTCCACGCATGTCAATCAACAACCCGAAAGCCTGCATGGATCCCTTCAGCCCACTGGGGGCCTGTCCTCTTGCAGGGAAGATTTTCCAAGCTAGGTATAGTTTGATACGTACATACGAAGTGAGGCTGTAGATAACCTTTCCTGATTGGAAAGTGAAAAGTGCTTGATCTCTCTTGGGACTACTGAAGCTGCTTATCTGTCATTTGGAATTATGGGATCTAACCAATTACGACCGTCATTCGATTCAACCCGAGTCAGCTCTTTGTTGTGGTGTGATTTACTTCGTGATCAGGTTCCCGCATGTGACATGTCTACATTCTACACAGTATGGCGACAAGCATGAATGGCGTATGCGTGTCTACGACCACTACTTACTAACTACGTAGTGACCAGTCGCTCATGATTAGGAGCATAACATACGAGGATGCTGTAGTATAGGAAAATGTCCGGCCTTTTCTACACATTTCTGTATGCGGCACGCATAAGAAATGTATTCGAAACCGTCATATTATACGGATTACCTCTTCCACCAGTTCATTCCTTCATACGCCCACCTCCAGAATGTACGATAGCATTGTCAGTGGTAAGCTCCGGATTTTCGATGCTGCACGAACCCCATGATCATAGCCTTACAGGGGTCAATCCTTTCGCAGCCTTGTCAGTGTGTGCCCAAGGCTGAAAAGGTCGACGCGCAGATCTTCTGGGGAGGGGTCACTATTCTTCAATGGGACACCAACGAATGATTGGTCTATGTTGAGGGGTTAGAGCTGATTAGGAAATCGAAAGTGCGGCTGAGGTTCGGAATAGGGCCGAAGGCGGGGAGTAGTTGACGTGTTCCATTCTATGCGCAAACTTCAGGCCCGACCCGTTCGCCGATCAAATGGTCCCCGATCGAATCACCACACAGCGGTTATCGCGCAGATAAGCAGGACTACCCCATAGAGCTGCATCCAAAAGCCCCTCTCATGAGGATCATCTCCAAAAAGAGATCTTAGTATTGGCACCATTGGCTTCGAACGAGATGCTTTCATCGACTACAAAGGCAGCAAAGGTCTCAAGAAACAGTCTCTGGTGGTTCCATAGATGAGGTACAATCAAATCTCATTCCTGTAACCACGCACCATGCTCAGAATGTTTTCTTCAACCGTGATTTATTTTCTCTATCTTCCTTTACTTCTAGCGTCCAACGTGCAAGCATTCAACACGATCCACACAAATTGCACGCTCCCTCCGCAACACGCCAACTTTGTGACAGCCCCGAACACCCGTGGCACATTGCAAATCCTTTGGTCGTCCCTATTCACCATTCTCGCCTGCACTTGGACAGTGCTTCATCTCAACGTCCCTGAGTATGCACCGAAACCGGAAATAAAGGACTTCAGAAAATGGCTCAAATGGATGGTGGACAAATATCAACATCCGACAAAGTGGTTCCTCCTTACTGTGTTTGCACCCGAAATTCCTTTCGCCAAATACTGGGATGATCAGGTCCGGGGGCATTCTCTGTTTTACCACTATGAAGCAGTTTTCAGGAAGAGGAACTGGACGAGGACTCATGTCCTCTTCGCTAATATGGGAGGGTTTGCGCTGCGGTGCACTGCCGATTCCGAGGAGGGTGGACCCGTTTCGAAGAACGAGAAAGCGACTACGGAAGATCAAGACGACCACCAGACCAGTACGAGCCCCCTTGTAGAAGACGCTATCTCTCTGACGGGCGGGCCGAGCACGTTGAAATCAATAGCTTCGGCGTCCTGCTGCGAGAAGCCAGAAAAGCAGATACAATCTACACTCATCGGGGATCCCGCGAAAAAGTTCGAAGAAGTCTTCTATCTAACAGCCGTCGAAGCCTTAAAACTTCTTTACAATGAAGAAAAATCTATACCAGGGCTAGAAAATGTATCGGAGGAGGAAATCAATGCTCGTTCGAAATCGGATATGTTCATGCGGCTCCTTGCCGTGGGTCAAATTGTCTGGGTAGTTATTCAAATCTTATCACGGTGGGCCTATGGCCTGGCCGTGACCCAGCTGGAGGTTACTGTTGTTGCTTTTGCGTTCTGTGCGGTGGGAATGTACATCGTTAACCATGGGAAGCCTAAAGGAGTTGAGCTGCCGCTTCTCTTCGATTATCCTGGGACCAAGAAAGCGCTGCGAAGAGAACTGGAAAAATTCAATTTCCCTGACCATGGAGGGAAACACAGCAAGTGGAAGTTTTACAAATGCAAGTATTGCACGAAAGAGAAAATCCAAAGCGACGGCGGTACCAGCAAAGACAACAAAAGAAGCAGCGACGGAAATGACAAGAACCATGAACCCGCAAACAATAACGATTCAACCGAGGCTAAATCAGAGACCATGTCCAGAAGGGACCGTGAGGCGAACGCAAACGTCAAAGAAAGTAAGGTAGTGCCCGAAGGGGCTACAATGGCGATGATATGGACAAGTTCTTTGGATACATTCACAGCAATTGTACAATGGGTACGAACAACGCTCGAGTCTAGCCGGGACCCGGGTGATCCAATTGGAAATGGTTTCATTGACGAGTCAGAAGATCCGAGCAAGTTGAGCAATGTCCTCACTGACTTGTGGATGTTCATCGGCAGTATGATATTTGGGGGCATTCATCTCATAGCCTGGGATTTTCAATTTCCCACCACAGTGGAGAAATATCTCTGGTGGGCGGCGTCATTGTGGTGTACTGCTTGTGTACTGATTAGCACATTGCTTTACTTTGTGATCCTCGTACTATCTGGAATTATGGAGGTCGTGAATGAAGCGATCAAGCATGACAACTCTTCGACCCCCGAGGATGCCAAGCCCGACGACCCAGCCGGACAGGCCCCAACGGTCTCGAGCACCAGCCCCAACCAAGTCCAAGCAAACCCTAACACAGAGCTTGATACCGAACTCAGTCCAGGTCCAAAGGAAATCCCTAGTTTGGAGGCCGAACAACCAGCGCCCCCGCCCGAGGATTCACAGAGAGATATAGAATCGCAGGATTCACCGCCACGGCGCCCGGAGACGATCAAGGTACTTGTGGATCTTGCGTATGTAGTACTAGCTCTTTTTCGTTTGTGCTATGTTTTCTTATCGATTTTTCTTCTCATATTGCTTATGCTCTTGGGGGTTATTGGTATGCTTGCCTACATTGTGGCAAGATTGTTCATTGTTGTTGAGATGTTTAGGACATTGGCCTTTCTTCCGCCGGACGCTTATATTGCTACTTGGTCATCGGAAATTCCTAATATTGGTTGACCACATTATTACATGTTTCGTTAGATTTGATTATATGATCAGTTGTTCTATTTCTTAGCAGTAGTAAGAAAATAAAGATTAAGACCGTGCAAGCGTATGCCTCAGCACTTCCTACAGGATTATTCTTACATCAGCCTCGTGGTATGTGGCTCAGATACGGCTGGTCAGACCAACATTTTATGCCTCACAGCCTGTAAATGTAAATGCTAGAACCCCTCATGTAGGAGCTCTCATAGACATTCAGTGGCTGACTTTACTGATCCTAGATCCCTCTATTCCAATGGAAACAAGCCCGTGAGGCAGGCATACTGGACATAAGACTCAATCACAGCTAAGCTAGAAGTACCATTTGACACCAAAGAGTGCCAGCTTGTCTAGCGACACAGAATCAAGTACTAATTTCAGTAAACATAAACATACCTAAACTGGGGTATCTCTTTATCTGTCTTATGCAATATACCTGCAATATCTCCATCAACTTCCTCGTTGCCGTGGAATGGTGGGTATACTCCATCGCGACGTCGGTTCTCCCACACCAGGTAAAAAGCGAGCCCCCCAACATAAAATGATCCCCACAGCGTAGCATATCATAATAGGAGAAATCCATTGGTGTAGGTAGGCGCTTGACTTGATAAGAATAGCTGCGGTCCGACAATATTTCCAACACAAAAACTGATAAAAATCTAAGGTGTTGAGTCAGCATCCACTGGCTCCGAAAATGCCACTTCCATAAGTAGTGGTCCAAAGCGAATTCAACGTACAGCTGTGTTAACCGTCATCTTCTTAGTTAAACCCGCAACATTACCCGATGACAAGCACATCGTTAGAGGGAAGTTGGCAGCAGCGGCCGTCATGAGTAATTCACCAGCGAATCGACCCAACATGAGATGAGCTGGAAGCTCGCGTATCAGAGCGGTGCCGATAGTGGCGAGACACAGGTTCCACACCATTCAGTAAGTTCTAGTATTGGTGAAATATGAGCTGCCACCGGTGGTGATATGAACGGCGATAAGCATAACCAAGTAGCAGGATGCTTGAAGAAGGGAGACGAAGGTACTGAATCCTAGGCCATTGACTACTATGGTGCCGAACTTGGGGGCTGTTAGTCTCTGGGTACATTTAACGCATAATGCGGAGCAACGGCAGCTGGCAACTCACAGTGGTTAGGGCACCATTAGGCACCTGGCCAAAAAAGGTTATGGCGCAAAAAAACCAGGTTTTAGCATCTAGCAACGCTTCGGTGCATTGCCTCCACTTGAACTCGCTGCTTTTTATCCCAGTCATGTTCATCCTCACGCGAGTCACAGCTTTCAGACGATCTTTGTCGTTCATAAACCAAGCCTGCATAGGAGTATCGGGCATAAGGAAGATGAAACAGATGGACCAAGCTATTGTTAAGCTACCGAATATTAAGAATAAGACCTGCGAGGGTTAGCAATTGTCTCTACAACAAAGAGAAATTTCGTCAAAAACTTCTGTCTTTCCAAGGTGCCATGCTCTGAATATGTCCAAGCCCATACGCAATCAGACCCCCGGTTATACCAGCAAAACTGTTTCCAATGAACCATGCGGCTTGTCTCAGCGGCTGCTTAGATCGCTTGTACCACATGGCAACAATGACGCTTAGGCCTGGGGCAATGGCCGATTCAGCTGCGCTGAGAAAGAATCGCTCAATCAGGAGTCCCGCAACATTGTTACAAGCGGCCGTTACTATCAAGATCACCCCCCATATACATCTGTAATCTTCCAGTCAGAATTGTGATGTACGTTAAAAGCGGTCCTGTGTATCTTTCTCACATTGAAATAGCAATTGTCTTTCCCACGTGCCAGCGGACCATCAACATAGCGGCCGGGCATGCAGCAACCATGTAACCGAAGTAGTAGATGCCGCTCGCCCAAGCAAACTCATCACCGCTAAGATGAAGGTCGCCTGGAAGGTCTAGAATGGATGTGAATGAGAGAGCCTGTTTATCTAGAAACTGTAACATGTATGAGATGGACATGAGAGGTAGCAGGCTGTGAGAACACTGTTAGTTAAAAAGTGTGCTTCCTCTCGGGATCTGGGCTGGATTCGCACCAAATGTCGATCTTTCGAAGAATCCTTCTGTCTTCCTCCCGGCTGAGTAACTCGGTTGCTGGGCCAGACTTAACGAGACTTTTCTCATTTTGAACATTACCGGAGGCTCCTCTACGGGGCCCGGGCACTATATCTCGCCCGGAGGCCATGGTATCATAGTTTTCAGTCGAGAGAATAAGATGTAATGATGGGTAACGACTGCTGCTATCCGGATTGACAAGTATATGGAGCAGTATGGCTACTAAACACAGTCAAAAAATTAACCGTCCACCTGTGTAACTTTTCTCCTATTCATTTCGCCACCGAACGTGTTCACGGCTGTGTTTAGCCAGCAAGCCTGTGTACAGGTTACACAATTTATCGGAAGAAGATATACGAACCGGGATCTATCCTGGATACTTGCTGTTTCACAAGATCTGTGCGACCTCTCATGGTGGAGAAGAAGATTCCGTTCTTTGTTCAACTTCCCCACATACAGACGCCTCCACTCGTGGCCTGAGCTTTCATCAACTCGTCATATGCGCGATGTACTATTTATGTTCTGCAGGTGTGGCTCAATGAGCTACGGAACACACGTAAATCAATGGTGTACATTGTAGTATTGACTGCTTTCCACGCGGTCTGTGCCTTAATGAGTGCTACGTTACATCTCATCCCGACTGTCGTTGCATCTCAGTCAAGCCTTCTGTCCGACGATTCAACAATCAGTGAATCCCCTTTCTCTAAGATAATCAAGGCCATATCCTGGCTATATCCACATGCAGGAGCCCAGGATCTTTGGCATAGAATCTAAATCTCATTGACAATGTCGACGACTGTGTGGGTTCCATTACATTCTCTCTTCTCAGAGAAGGTGGCTCCTTGTCAACATTTTCATTCACGGTTAGTCAGAGGAACCCAAAAAATAGGAGATATGATAGCAGACCTACAAGATCTGTACCAACTGTGGAGCATGTTTGGCTTACTGGTCAAAAGTCAATTTGCTCAGTGAGTTTTGCCCGTAACCAGTTCAGGTTGGAGACCCGAGACCCTGTCCAGCTCGGTCACTCCTTTCCACTTTGTCGTAAATACTCAGTGAATCCTCGCTTACGATCATAGAGTCAACCTTTAAGTATCGGGCTCAGTAGTCCATTGGGCGCTATCATAGCAGCCCTCTATATGTGCGTCTAGTCATATTCCATATATACAAAGTCATCAATCCAAATTCATATCACATCACGCCAGCATAATGTACAGTCCAGGGCATCCAGTCCCAGTCTTCCAATTCTAACTGCAAACCTTACCATCTTCTCATGGTGCAGCTTCCTCCTTACTAACCCGATGACCCTGGTTAGCCTTCCGATCCGACGCCAGCGTCTGGGCAAACTTGCTCCTCTCGCGAATCTGCGGCCCCTTCCAGTAGAAGACGTAAATTGGAAGCACCACCAAGCACGAAAGGCAAGCCAGGATAGTAGTAGCATACTCCACATGCCACTTATCACCGATATTCTCATACATCGGAGTGGTATACATAGCCGCAATACCCGCTAACAGGTCACGACAGAAGGCATTTCCGCCCGTCGCAGAAGCAGAGTAAACACCGTACGCAGCGACCATGTAATCAACCGAGGAAAGGTAGATAGCGTAGTTGGCTATGCCGACAAGGGTGGAGAAGATCATGGATGCGATCCACGGCACACCGTACTCTTGACCCAGAGACGTCCACGCGAAACCGAAGAGCCCTATCGGTTCAAGCAGGGCTAGATAAAGAAGCCACTTAAGTCTCCGCTCAGCAGGTAGTGCATCGTCTCCCTTCGCGTCGCGGATTTTCTGGTCCCGCCAGAACCAAGGGAAGTATGAGAAGTATGCAATAACGTAGCCGATGTTGATTGGGATGACGGCCCAAGCTTGGCCGAGGATACCAAAACCCCAGCCCTTCTCGTATACGATGGAGAAACTCTCCAGGAAGGTGAAAATGAGGGAGTCGGAGAATCCGGATAGGAGGGAGAGACATAGGACGATGGGTTCTCGGAGGAACATGTAGAAGGGACGGATCCAGATCTTGCCGGCTTCTTTGAGGGAGATGCGGGGGCTTTTGAGCTCGTTGGGACCGTAGATGTTCGGGTCTTCGCCGGATTCACGGCGGCGCTTGGCTTCGCGGTCCATGATGATAGTCGAGCGGCTTTCCGGGACGAAGAGGAGAATTACCTCGACAACAAAGCCGAAGATTAGCATGATCCAGAAGAACCATTGCCAGTCGAGGTCTGTCAGATGTACAGTCAGTGGTTTTGTGGATAAATTACGGTCGGCTTTTTGGGATACGTACAGCGCTCAATCGGTCCACCTATGACACCTCCAATACTTGTTCCGATGCAAGACGATAAGACAATAAATGCCAAGGGGAACTGTTGGTCTTCGGCTTCGTAGAGATCAGCAATAAGGCCTAGGGTGACACTACCGCCAGCGGTCGAGATTCCACCCTACAGACATATTAGCATGACATAGTGCACATTCCAGACGCAGGGAACTGACCAATCCACGAGCAACAACAATAGTGCCCCAATTCGGCGCCAAGGCAGCTGGAATTTGCCAGATATTAATAAGAAACATGGAAAGCTGGAGGATAGGCCAGCGACCAAATTCTTCACTCCAAGGCGCCCATAGTTCACATCCAATGGAATAGGTGATCAGGTAAATCATCTGCCCCGTCCGGGCTTCCTGCTCCCCAATATTGAATGCCTCTGACAACGGCTTGACAGCATTTGGAAACACGGAGGTGTTAAAGTTCATAGATATTTGGACGCATGCTATGGCCGCAAGATACGACCATTTCTTCCATCTCGGCCAGCAGTAGGCCAGCTTATCGTAGCAGTCGTTCTCCTTCAACTCGCGTCTTCCGTCTGAGCGTATGGACCCCGTTTCTTTCTCGGCTCCAGTGAGCCCAAATGCGGGGACAATATCATCCCCGCTATCCTGGCTGTCTTTCCCTTTATCGGAAAAGGAACTGCGAGATGACTGGGTCTGGGGTTGCTGTTCGTGGGGATACATAGTGTGATGTCATTAATTGGTACTATCACACAGGAACAGGCAAAGATAAGAGACTATTCCTCTCTTAGAGTGGTCTGACATGGCTGGATACCCTGCCGGTCGTCTGATAGATATACCATCCTGCCTCAATCATTCATTCTAGATGTTGTCATACTGGAGCAGTTCGTTTTTCAAACCGGATTTGTGATTTTGGGGTTACAGTGGGGCGGGCCGGGCAGATCCACCTGTGGATCATCGCCGGGGAGAAGTTCATACGCACCCAATCAAAACATCGGCACTCGACTCACGATGCACCCTCGGGCTCACTTTTGATTTGTCTTGATGGCTTCCGGAGGTCCGGCTGCTCCATACCGATGCACCTAACTCGGAGTAACACACTGCCCGTTATCCACCGTAAGCACAGAGCACCCGGTATGATATCATCGTTGTGGTGCTGCATTGCAAAGAAACGAACCTTCGCCACACTTCCATTCTTTCTTCCTCGTGCATTCACCACTCATATTTGACCTGTTGCCTAGCAGAATATCGTCGAACCTCGGTCTCTCGGAATGCATAAAGAAATAGCAGCACTGAAATGACGTGTCTGAGTAATGTGGCTGATATTGGTCCAGGTACCATGCATAATGACGCTCCTTGCATCCCCTTCGGTCTGATAATGTTCTTTCGGATAAATTCTCCTTCATGTGCTGTTGTCGACGATGCTCGTTTGATCAGTGCATGTTTATTCAAGTACATCTCAACCTGGAATGATGTCATAGTACCTGTGCATTCGATAAGTGACACACACTACAACACTAAGTTCTTTTGAACATGACTAACAACAATTGACACATCTCGTTCATTACTCGGACTGCTGTTCTCCTGCTTAGGCGATATCATGCTAAACGACAAGTTATCCTTACATCCAACGTAACGAACTTCACTCATGATGAGATCTCATACTGCATCTCTGGAAGATGGTAATTCGTTGTAGGGGAGCGACAATCTTGAAAAAGTGGACCCACATTCCTGCATAGAGAACACGGCTTGTCGTGAAGAGATACATTCAGCACAACTATGGAAAAGTACCAGTCATTAATTCAGATTTCTATTGACAAGTAGTCAAAGAATTTATCTCAAAAAAAAAGAATACTGAGTGCCAACATCTACTTCTGCTACCTTCATCATCAGAACAAGCTGTCACGCCGGCTAGGCTTTCTCCGCGCTATCTGCCTCACAACAAGGACTCTCTTTAGAGGCTTTGTTAGCAGTCATCGAACCACTCCCGCTAAGTGTTTTCTCCATACCCTTAGTCATGAACTTCAGGACACAAACACGAGGGATCAATAATAGCATCATCAAACAATACCAGGCTCCAGTTGACAGACGTAGCAGAGAAAACAATAAGGAAGGAGTTCAACACATATTGGCAGCGTCATTTTCATGACAGGGGTTGTGTATATTAATAATCAAGTTTAGGGTTGCCTGACAGCCTGAGTCTTCTTACTAAGCATTCATTACTAAGCATAGGGCCAGGGAACATCAATGATAAGAATATCACACTGAAAAACTTTGTATGTACGGTCTACAATAAGTTTTGAATTCTTTCCAGATCATATCATACTATTTATAGGGTTGCAAGCAGCCGCCGCATTTATTATGAACACCATCGCAGGGCGCTTTTACATCAAAGCCGCTTCAATTCCATTTACCAAGTACTCGCCGTTTCCCTAGGGCTCTCAAGATCGAATAAAGTCACATTAAACTCATCGAACAAAGTCGAACACCGTGAAGTCAGGTCCCTCGGGTTCCGATTACAATCCCGATCAATGTCCCATTCCACTTCCGAAGATAGCTTCCGCTTATCCTGCAAATAGTAACTTTCTCGATAGCTCTCGTATATACGGTGAGTCACCGGCCTTAAGCGGCATTTAGCGGGTTTTACGAAGCGTCAACCCCACTGACCAGCTATATATGAGCCTGTTAAACCCCGCATCAACTAGTTCCGTTATGGTATATTTTCCCGAGGATAAGCACATATATAAGGGCTTATCCTTTTCAGTAAGCCAAATCCATGTGCTACGTCTGAAGCACTGAAATAAAGCCATCCCTGGAGAACAAAACAATTCAACGCCATTATGAA